ATCTTAGGATGCATGCACAAGGCTACCCCATCACACCTCTTGAATCCAGTCACCTCAACTCAACTGCATTTGCATAGCAACCAAAGCCTACACAAACAAAACACACAGCCTGGTGTGAATGTACAAACCATCTCTACACAGCAAATCCAGAGAATACCTCCAAATTCAAAGTGTCTAGTTTAAGCATGCCAGGCAGATGGCACTCCCTGGCATGGGCTCACTTACTTGGAGGAAGCAAAGTGCAGAAAGAGCTGGTCACACCCCTGTCAGCCAAAAAATGCAACACAGACAAGGCTGGGCAATTCTAGAAGGAGAAAGAGGTTTTCCTATCTACGGCTGGTTTCTCTTTGAAAAGCCAATTTGCCTGGCTTTGCTGTGCATTTTGAAGGCTATTTACTGGTCTGGGCTTTGTCATTGCAGCAGCATTTCTAACAAGGTATGTGCAAACTGGAGCCCCCGGGAGGCTTTGCAGCAGAACCGACTGCAAAACATTAGTCAGGGCTTAAGAGAGCAAGAAAAAAGGGAGAGTAATGAAACAAAATCTCTCTTTTCCTCGGCTGAGGAATGATGGGGGCTAATTGCTTGTAGCTGGTGAGGAAGAGAGGAGATGGGAGCTTCTTCACCCATCAATAAATTAACCCCAGCATGTGGCATGTGAAGTGCATTCATTTCCAGAGCCTTTTATCTCTTTGTCTCCTCTCCTGGGTGAAAACATAATTATTGTTTAAACATGAGTTAATTCAGCAAGGTGAGGATCAATAAAGCAGAATTACTCCTCTTTTAAAAGCAAAGAAATCTCAGTCTGGGACAGATGTGGACATAACTCTGGCAGGGCTGATGGATGGGGAAGACACCTTGGTCACAGCAGAGCTCCCTCTTTTCAGGACTGCCTTAGGCATTGGGTGCAATAACTAAGTCCAGCAACAGGCAGTCAGAGCACTCAGTACAAAAAGGTGAAATCACCCATGCAAGTACATTTTGTAGCCTGATATGCAAGTACACTTTGTAGCCTGACATGTGGAGAGGCATCTCCGCCACATACATACTTCCCACATAAGAGCTTGGGTTAAACCCCAAAGCTTGTGCAGTGACCTCTTCCAGACCTTTGAAGGAACCCAGACCCTGCTAGGGAGGAGGTCACTGCACTGCAGGGAGCCCCACCAGCTCTGCTCTCACAGAGTGGAGGCCTTGGACAACCAAAGGTGCGAGTGTCACAGCAGACAGCAATCGCATCCGCGTTCTGCTCAGCTTCCCCCAGCACCTTCCTCCATTCCGAAATAAATTGGCAGCAGCCACTGCCTGAAGAACGAAACACAGGAAGGAAAACTGAGCTATCCACAATAATGGGAAGTTGATTAGAGGGCTAGAATACCTCTTCTATGAGGAAAGGCTGAAATACTTGGTGTTTTTCATCCTGGAAAAGAGAAGGCTTTGGGATGAATGTCCAGTACATGCAGGGGCTACAAGAGAGCTGAGGAGGGACTTCTCACAAGGACATGCAGTGACAGGACAAGGCATAATGGCTTTAAACTGAAAAAGAGTAGGTTTAGATTAGATATCAGGAATAAATCCTTCACTGTGAAGATGATGAGGCACTGGTGAAGGCTGCCCAGAGAAACTGTGGATGTCCCGTCCCTGGAAGTGTTCATGGCCAGACTGGATGGGGCTTTATGCAAACTGGTCTAGTGAAGCTGTTGCTGTCCATGGCTGTGCGATTGGAGCTTGGTGATCTTTAGGTCCCTTCCAACCTAAACCATTCTGTGATTCCTTACAGAGGGCCCAAGGCTCTCCTCTTCTCTCCAGATTTTCAGCCTGTTCTGCCTGCTGTGTGCTCTCCCATTCTTCCTGCAGCTCCTGTCCAGCTGTCACAGACATACTTTATAAAAAATCCTTTTGCCAGGATCTTTCCTCCTGAGAAGCTTCAGCTTCTCCATGTTTTGCTGCTTTGGAATGAGATCTGGAGAATTGTCTACCCAGCATGTAAAATTGCTTTTACTTGACGACCAATGACAGCCACCTGTGTTGAGGCTGTGAGCAGTCACGAGATTTTATTATCATTCCTTTTCATTCCTTGCTAGCCTTCTGATGAAATCCTTTCTTCTATTCTTTTAGTATAGTTGTAATATATAATTTTCTTTTAATATAATACATATCATAATATAATAAATCAGCCTTCTCAAACAATGAGTCAAGATTCATGTCTCTTTCCTTGTCCTGGGACCCCTGTGAACACCATCACATCCATCCCTCCATGCCAGCTGGATCTGCACAGATGGGGACAGCCTGTGGCTGTCCAGGGCAATGCCCATCTCTGCAGGCAGGTTGGCCCAATCTGGCAGCCCCATCTAAAGCTGATTATTCATGCACCGGGGATGACAGTCCTGCACACCCTCTTCCTTTGCCCCTCTGCCTCTCCCCGCAGCAGGACAGCCCAAACCCACTGCTAGAGCCAGAACATCACTGCCAGCCTCTGAGCATGCCTCTGGAGCTGCCCTGATGGATGTCTCTGGTCTCCCACCACCCAGTGTCCATCCCCTGGGAAGTTCAGTCCCCAGCTGTGCGATGCACGTGAAACCTGAGCAGCCTGCCAGGGACGCAAGGCAAGGGAGCTCCGCCACCCCAAAGGCCACAGAAACCCCAAACCCACTGACCTCTGAGCTCCTCCACTCCCTTCCTCAACACTGGGGATCATCCCAGGCTTCTGCATCCCAGACAGATGCTCTGCCTGCTCCTAGGAGAAGGACTAACGGTGAGCAGCAGAGGGGTTATTACATGAACAGCCTCACCTTCACCAAGCCTGACGCTGCTTTTATTAATTCATGTGGCACTTTGCAGGATGCTCCAGTAACCACCGCGGTGCATACAGAGCCAGGAGAGGGTGGCCAGGCTCCCTCCGCCGTGCTCATGCTCACTTAACAGCTTGTCACATCCTCCTCACTCAAGTATTCAGTGCTAATGCATCTCTTAGAGTGCTTCATGAGCTATTAAAGTCGAACGTGCCTCAAGTGCATGATAAATGAACTCTGTGCCAGCATCTCCCCACCACTCCACCGGGTCCCTGCCACCAGTGGGATTAACCCATCCTCCCGCCCCATTCCTGCTGTGCACTTCCAGCCCCATTCCTGGTGTGCACTTCCAGCCCCAGTGCCCGGCTGGTGGGGGATAAGCTCTGGGCTCGGCTGGTGAGGAGAGGCTGCAGCAGGGCAGGGGCTGAGCTCTGGCTGGGGGGCACGGGGCACAAGCTTTGGGTCTCTGGTGTTGACCTGCCTGTGTGCAGCCCCTCCGAGCTGAGAATGGTGGAGTGGGAGGGAGATCTGCTGCTCCAAAGCTCCTGCCAGAGCAAACCTCGGAATTTCAGAGAGGTGCCCAGGAGGGACAGATTGAGGGCAGTCCTGAAGGTGTTCTACTGTCTCATAAGTAATTTTCTGACCCCGTAGGCTTTTTCTGTCGCCCAGTGAAGCTGCCACAGATGGGAAGAGCCCTGCCATACTTCTCACTCCATTCAGGCAGTTGTTGATACACACAGGCCTCAGCAGCTTCAGTTTTGAGCTGGTGCCCCAAAAATCTCCCTCCCAGACACAGGCAGGCAAGGGAAACGTGAGGGACACGAGGACATGGGAGGCTATGCTGCTGAACCCCTCAATCCTGCTGTATCACAGAGCAGAAGGTGACAGTCACTGCAGCTCTACACCAGCTGTCAGCGGCAAAATGTGTGGACCTGCTCACTGGTGAGCAGCAGCATTTGTTCTTCTCTAGACAACACAATTCAAGTGTGTGCAACCCTGAAGTACCTGGCACTTCTGTGTTTTGTGCACCTCCCTGTGCAGCAGGCCTGGGTTACTATTCAAAGCATCCAAAGGATGCTCTGCTGTCCTCTTGCCAGGTCCTTTAAAGCTCCCCAGGCAGTGATCCTGCAAGCACAGCAGGAGAGAGCAGCTTTGCTTCTCTGCAGGAAGCATCACAGCACCACCACATACAGCGCCCAAATGCTTTAGGCAGGCACCCTGGGAAGGGGTTGGGGACCTTCCTGAAACACCAACCAGCAAAATCCTTCTGTGTCCAGAGAGTGGCTGTCCCCATGCAATGAGGATGTGCTGCCAAACCCTGGCTGCTCTGTGTCCAAGGTGGAAGCTTGTAAACCCACCCAAGTGGATTTAAGGCAGCTCAGTGGGCACTCTGGCTGGATTCCTCAATTTCACAGAGCCCAAGGATGCATAGGTGTCTTTACTTGAGTTAATGAGCAAAATTCCCCTCCAAGATCTTCTAAAAGCTACTACAGACAGGCTGCCAGGAAAAGCAGGTAATTCTGGAGATTCCCCATTTTTTCCTATTTTTGCAGAACTGGACCCTACACCAAGACCAGCCATCCCTCATAATCTTCCTGCTCCTGCCTAGACCCAGGATTGTGTGGGGCTCCTCTGGCTCCCAGTGCCACCAAAGACTCTAAAGGGTGATCCCTCTAAAGCCAACACTAAAATAAGCCCTGAATCCTCTGCCAACTTGGAGAGATGTGAGCTAGTGGTGGGCACAGATATATGGTGGCAGTGGGGATTAAGTCACCACAAGGAGGTGAGAGGAAGATGAAGCATCATCCATCATTTTCATGGGTCCAGGTGTCATGGAGCTGTTAGAGGTGATTGGAGTTTGGAGCTGTCAGGCTGTCAGGCTGGTGCTTCCTCCCAACTCCTCATCCCTTCATGGGCAGGCTGCATGGGGCAGTGTCCACAAAAGAGTGGGCAAAGAGGTCCAAAGCAGTAGGGACACAGAGAGCTGTGGGCAGGGCAAGGGGCATCAGCAGAGGGAGATGCAGGATGCCCAAACCCCACAGTGATGGGTTGGAGAGGACACTTGTCATGGAGAGAATTGATAACATGCACAGCAATAATATCAGGCACACCTGGAGGGTGCACCCAGATTCCCCCAGGAGAGAGGGGCTGAAGGAGCAGGATTCCCATTTTTGAGGACCCCCAGGGCCTGGGAGGGGGGCGTGAAGGACTCACCCAGCTGGCTGTGCCTCTGGGCGTACACCACCACCACCGCGGCGAGCACCACGCAGCACGCTGACGGCACAGGGTTAGCCATCTGTGGAAGCAAACACAGGCAGGAGCAGTCAGGGCTTGCCCCCAGGGCTGAGAGACCCCAGTGATGGGACTGCAAGGAGATGACTGTAAAACCAGCTCCATGGCAGCCAAGGGGAAATTCACTGCAAAATGAGGCATTTTGCTGGGGCACACTTCATCACTCCATAGCCTGTGGCACTTTCTATGGGAGGTGCCTGGAGGTGATGACATGCATGACATGCACAAATGCTCCATCTTCCCTGTCTCATTCTCAACATTTTCCTTAGGAAATCCAGTCCCTGGTGGGGCTCTCCTTGGCAGATGCAGCATCATCCCAGGAGGCAATGCTACCTGCAAATGGGTTGCAGAGGGGTTTTGAGGAGATGGGAGCACACCCAGGTAGTTCACAGTTGATGATGCAGGATGGGCAAGATGTTAATCACAGCAGAGACCTCAGCCTCAGCCACCTGCCATCAATATCTTGATGGGCCATAGCTGTCCCCCACTTTTCTGGGCTGGGAGAGGGGCAGAGGCTACTCTGTCCTGGTGAGCTGTGCCTTGTGCCAGGGGATGCTGTGGTGCAGGGAGGTACGGAGGGAGTGACAGCTAAGAATGCAGGTGATGAAGATATCTTGCCTGCACCAGAAAGCCCCTCTAGGAGTGGACAAATGGCAGCAGTAACTACAATGATATCCTGCATGGCCCTGCCAGGCTGGAGATGCCCAAACTCTCATTTTCATGTAGTCAGGGCTGGTAGAGGAGACCAGAGCCAGGAGGGAGCTGCTGGGGACAGCCACGGGGATGCTGGCCCACCCACCAGGAAGTAAACTGCACCATGCATGAAAAGCAAATTGCACCTTCAAAACCATTTAAGCCTCTCTAATCTCCAGTGCCATATCGGTAACATGCACAGGATTGCCTTTTAATCTAGAACATGAGTAAGGGCTCATTAGCCAGATGGCATCCATTTAAACCTAAATAAAGGGGGAGCTCCATTGGTGAGAGAAAAAAAACCAGCAAAACATATTCCATTACCCAACAGGACTGCTGCAGGAGCCCAGACGGCCTCGGGCTCGCAGGGAGCCTTGGCAGGGCTGGAGGGAAGGCAAGAGCAGCTGGGTGGGATTGCACGGGCAGATTTTGGGGTGCAGCTGGACCAGCCTGATCTCAAATGTCTCTTAGGGGCGGGGATGTTGGGGGTCTAGACAGTGGGGCTGAAGAGGATGAGCCTGGAGATGGGCAGAGAAGGGATCCATGTCCTTTAATCTTTCAGTGCTGGGTTTGAGCTCCAAGGGCTGGCAGCAAGAGTCATTCCCAGTGTGCTGGTGCTGCAGAGCATAGACAGACAAGACCCAGACCCTGCTGACAGCCCTCACAGGTCACCTTGAGCAAATCACTCCAACTGCCTTCCCTGTGCCTCAGTTTCCCCATCTGTAAAACAGAGATAATGAAGGTGACCTTCCTCTGAAAGCTCTGGGCGAGGAGCGCCAAGTGCTAATTACAATCTCCTTATCACTCACTCTTCTTCTTCCCCCCTGCTTCTCTCATGCCTGCCCTCCACTGCCTTTTCCATGTGTCCCCTCTGTGCCTGCAGCATGGCTCCCTGACTGCCACCCCACCTGTGCCCCAGCTGCCATCACAAGTGGCACCTCAGGCAGTGGGTGACAGCTGGAACCTGAGGCAGGTGGCAATGCCTCATCTTGGGGCACTGCTGGCATGTGGGACCCTGAGCAGCTGGGAAACCACCTGCAACCCAGGAGCCAACTCTTCCTATTTGCACTCTAATTTACTTTCCACTGAATATTCCCTTTCTACAGCCCTGGGGGCTGATGGGTGGCACCAGGACTTGCAGCAGGCAAGGAACCAGGGGTCATAGCCTCCCTTCACCACAGCCCAGGTATCTCCAGCTAGTGCAGCCACCCCATTTCTGGGGACAATGACAGGAGGTGGGACTGGACCCCCAGCAACTAGACTGCTCTTTGGAAAGTGTGAGATCTCCTTGATGCAGTCTTTAGCTTGGCTCAGTGCAAATATCATCTCCAGCATCATATTCTACCTCCTGGCCCTGCCAGGGAGCAAAGCTACCTGCTGCCCACCCCCTGCTGCTCCTCTCTTGTCTCATCAGCTCTTAAAATAATTACTGCTGCTCCTGCCCATGTGCCTAGGCCAGTATCAAAACAGAGTTATGTAGCAGGGAATGGTTCCTGTCCCAAAGCATTGATGGTCTCAAGGAATACAGGTGGAGTAAGAGAGAGTAGAGGGACCCAGATAAGATCCCTGAGGACTCTGGGGCATGGCCAGGACACAGGCAGAGGCTTACAGTGACAGCACAGAGAATTCACCACTTGGCTGCTCTCACCCTGGAAACCTCATTTCTTCTTAGAGATTAGCCCTGTGACCAGGGAGGAGAGAAGCTATTTTAGGACAAAAATCTAGCCAGAAAACCAACTTCTTCTCACTTGGATTGCAATTTTCCATGCAGTATTTGCTTTGTTTGACTGTTTTGCCCAAAGCCATGTTGATTTTTTTTTCCCCAAGCACATAACAAAGCCTTTGCAATTTCTGCAGATGTTTCCAATGCAAATTTCTGTTGCTGTATTTGCTTGCTTATCTGTTTCTCTAGTAAAAGCCAGAACCCTGGCATTCGGGTGCACAGGCCAGTGAGCAGCAGCTGACCAGGTGTGCAGAGTCCTGAGCTATGTCCCCATGGCAGCAGGGAGCAGTTTATAGGTGATGGAGGGGAACCACATGTATTACACAGCAAAGCTTGCAGTGTGAAACTCAATCTTCTGTGCAAAAGGTAAATTTTCCCAAGTAATGAATAATTTCTTAGAGGTAGAGAGAAAAGAGGAGCCTGGGGAAGAAGAAAGGGGGAGAGGGAACATATGAAGTGGTGGACCAGCAGGTCTGGAGCCATCCTCCCTGTCCCCAACTTCCTGTTTGATCTTTCCCTGCCTTGTCCTCTATACCGAGGATAGTGAGGGCATCAGCCATTGTCCCTCTTAGCAGAAGGCAACTCAACACAGACATGGATAAGGTCCCCTCCAGCAGTTCTCAGTCTAAACCAAATGTTTCCAGGCCTGTGTTCCCTGAGCTGGATCAGGACTGAAGGGGCACAGCAATGTGACATTAGCTGATGTATTGTGATGGGGTGAGGACAGTCCCAGGAGGGAGTACAGCAGGAGTGAAAGGGATTCCAGGCAAGGGATTCCAGTCTATCCAGGCAAAAAGTAGGATGACATTTTCTGCTCAACAGTCCCAGTGTCCTCTTTTGAGTAGGCACAGGCATGGATCCCTTCCAGTTCTCCACTAGCAATGGAGTACCAACTGGCACCTGGAAACAGCAGCTCCAGGGCAGGGCTGGTGAGGGATGTGGGCTGCACCCCAGTCTCCCACCACAACTCTCACCTGTCACAGGCTGCTCTCAGCAATGATAAATAAATAAAACCCTCATTCTAGAACTGTGTGGCTGCCTCAGAAGAAAAGTGGTAGTTTTAAAACCTAGTGTTTCCATGACAAAGTCTTCCATCAGACAATTCACCACCAGGTGCTGTTTTGAGTCTGGCTCTGAAGCAGTGAATTAGGGAAACGCAAACTCTGTTTAGTCATTTGCTTCCCCTCCAGCTTTGCTCTGAGCCTTCCAAAGGAGCTTTGCAGCACCTGTCCTGCAGGCAGGCACCAAGGTGTGACTGCACTGCCCACAGCAACTGTCGATGCTGTGCTAGAACCTCTGCTGCACACCTGGGATGGGGATGGACACCTGTGCTGCACACCTGGGCTGTGCATGGACACCTGGGCTGTGCATGGACACCTGTGCTGCACACCTGCACTGGGGATGGACCCCTGCCTGCTGACACAGGCTGTAGCTGCTACAGTTCCCCTGTACTGCAGACACCCCCAACACGTGCTCAGGTACCCCCTGTACTGCAGCTGCTGAGTGTAGGTGTTACTGCACACCTGCACCACAGGGGCTGGCTGTGTTGGTACCCAACACCTGGAGCGCAGATGCTGCCTGCAGGCACTGCAGCCCACCTGTCCAGCAGGCCAGGTCCCAGTCTGCCTCTTGCTGAGGTGTGGTACTGTGCAGGTGCCAGCTGCAGGCATCACAGTGCCCTGCACTGGCAGCAGGCACTTCCTGGGCACCAGCGTTACTGAAGGAGAAACAACACACTTATCAAAGCCACTCTTGACTCCTCAGCCTAGGCCAGAGATGCTGGCACGGCTTCTCCCAGCCCTGGGGATGCAGGGTGCCTCCTGTGGCATGCCATTCCTCCCAGAGGCAGGGTGTGGTGCTGCCATGGAGCAGTGAAGCACCAAAGGCGACAGGACACCCTCCAGCCCCAGGTTCCCAGGGGTTGCACCATGTGGGCAGCTCTGCTTGGGCACCTGACAGCACTGAGTGCTGTCTCCTCCTTTCAGATCATCCCTGGCAGCAACGCGAGGGAAGCAGAGGAAAAAATAGTTGTCACTTAATATCAGACACTTGCTAACAGCCCTAAAGCCTTCGGGCCTTACAGTGCCCTGTCAGCACTAAACTCCTCTTTGCTGCCTAAGAGGAAGAGAGAAAAGAGGAACTTTATCATCTCCTTCATATGTGCTATCAGAAAGCCTTATCAGCAGAGACAGAATCCCCACTGCCTGAAAAGCTTTCTTAAATCTAATTTAAACCCCCACTGTCAATAGAGCAATTAGCACTGCCCCACTGGACCACGAGTGCCACAGGGATGACTTGGGCCAGCTGAAATAAATTCACTCTTGGCTCTCATGGACTGTGACTTTCCTCCCTCCACCTCCTCCCTTGCTGGTGATGAAGCAAAGGCTCCAAGGAGGAAGATAGCCTGGAGGAAGGAGCACCCCACAGCAGAGCTCCTTCATCACCCTGCCTCTGCCATCCAGTGAGCACTGCTGGACCCCTGGATGGCAGCACACACCCTCCTGCCCTTGTGGTCCAGGAGATGGACAAATGGTGGAAGGGTGGTCCTCACAAACCTTCCCAGCTGCTTGGGTTGAAGGTGTGCCCCC